TTTATTTTCATACACATCTACAACCTAGATGAAATCAATTCACACTTCCTAATATAACTTCTAGCCCTTCTACAGTCAGAGAGCCCTGGTGGTGCAGTGGTTAGAATGTAGTAGTGCAGGCTAACTCTGTGCATTGCCAGGAGTTTAACCCTGACCGGCTCAAGGTTAACTCAGCCTTCCATTCTTCCAAGTTCAGTAAAATGAGAACCCAGATTATTGGGGACAATATGCTGATTCTGTTAGCCACTTAGAGAAGGCTGTAAAGCACTATGAAGTGGTATATAAGTCTAATTGCTAGTGCTAGAATAAAATCTACATCTTCACTTCCCTGAATGTAATCTTCAATTCCTTAGGATCAGACCATCTTTATTATATCTTTTCTTTTCTGGATTCATAAACCTTTAAATTACCTATTGTTCTTTCATTTAATTTGTTAATTCATGCTTCCTTACCATTTTCTTCTCTTCAATTTCAAGTCATCAGATAGGACTACAGTTAATGAACTCCCAACACCTATCCTGGCTTTAGTCAATTGATGACTTCTGCATAATTTTCTTTTGTAAGATAGGGAAAGCATATCGCTAGGCTAGTGGTAATAATAAGGACAGTACCAGTCAGTTTTGGCACACTTTGGGTCAATGTGCGACAAGAACAACCAAAATCCACTTTGGGGAAAACAACCTATAGACTAAGTTATAAAGCAGAGTGTTGCCTACATTTCAATAAGTGAAATATATATGGTTGCATTGACACAAACTCAGATTGAATATTTAAAAAATTGTAACCAAAGTATTATCCTTTAAAAAAAGCTTTGCTATATCTCTTCAAAGGGATGAAATTATTGGTAGTCCCATTTCTGTTTGAACTTGTGGTTCTATGGTATCTAGAAATTGGTGGGAGGAGTTCATTTGAATTTTAGCTTTTACTTTACTTAATTCTAGTTTACTTATACAGGATCTATGACAGCCCTTTGTTGAAATCAAGTTTCAGTTGTATTCAAAATGTTAACATTTTGAATACAACTGAAACTTGATTTCAACAAAGGGCTGTCATAGATCCTGTGTGTGCATATCGATGGGAAAAACACGTTAGGTAAAGTAACTGTTTCTATTGAAATAAAAAGAAATCACATCTTTTAAAGTTTTTATTTGTTTTTTTCTGATGAAGGAAACTATCTTTGTATTAGCAGATCAATACATTAAAAGGTATTTGAATATTTCCAACCACAACTAAGAATAGTTTCCAAGTTTCCACTATTTCAGAATATCTAAAATTTTGAAGCTGTAAATTAATGTGATGGTAAATCTCTTAAATATTAGCAAAAGTAATTTAAATATATGGTTGACCAAACTGATAGTTCCAGCATTGGTAACATCTGTAATATAAACAGTTAAACTTAATATTGTTCGTCTAATATTGTATATAGGAAATTTTGCGCTTGTCTGGATAACTGGATGTAGCCTTCTCTGAAGACAGTTTTTGCAAATGACATCTGTTTCACTTTTAGGTTTTTACTAGTATTTTGCCAAAAGCCACAGCTTTTTAATGGTTGCCAGAGACTACATAGATTCACCAGATATTTTGTGCACATGCAAAAACAATATCCTTTTCAATTAAAACATTTCACATGGTATTGTGTCTGACAAGGTACAAAAATAGTTGTTTGAAGAAAAAATGCTTTTTCTTGGCCTGTTAACCAAAACTCAGTTTTTACCACCATGCTCTTGTTACTTTTGGTGGCAAATAAGGTTGAATTTTGAGTTCATGGAGAGGAGATACATTATGCTCCTTTGGGCTATGTAAGGAGAATTGGTGCTAAATGTATCACTTAGAGCAGTTCAAATTGTGACATGATAAATTCAAGAATTCAAATTTGGAGTAAAATAAGTATCTTCTTTTTAGCAATTCATGCATATAACCATCACTGTAGGAGTGATTCTGAAGTCTGTATTCTTGCATGTACTTTTTATTATCCTATGTAGAACTTATAATTGGACTTAGGTACACTTAATTTTGGTATAGTAATTCATTTTGTAAACCAGATATTATTCTAATATTATTCCCAGCTCTACACCTTTTTAAATGCTACCTGATGTATCTTGCGTATAACCACGGTACAACTCTGACTGAGCTATAAAACAAGATAATATTTTATTTTATTTTATTTTATTATTGTTTATTTTGTTTTATTATTTATTTGCTATCCATCTTGCCTCAGGGCAACTCTGGGCAGCTTACAAGAAGCTATAAAATCATAACGTATACAGTAAATATTTCTAAAAACAGTAAAAATGACATCGCAATTAGGAAAAATTGTAAATAAAATACGCAATTAAAAATGGAATTTTGTACAGAATTGAGTGGAGTAGAAGTGTATATATGGAATTATATCTCACTTCCTAAGAAACACTTGGCAAAACTGGCCACTGTTTCTGCTCCTTGAGATAGGAAAGTCTCTAATATTTTGCTGTTTCCTTGCCAATGGAAGAATTCCTTCCCTTCAAAATGATCAACGCTCAGTTCATGAAAACTCTCTGCCTTATAATGTCTTTAAATAGATTAAAGATAGAATAAGAATTGGGAAAATAAAAATGCTAACATTATTCTGTGCCAGATTCTAGCAGAGATAATAGCAGAACGTACTTCATTTTCTTGTGGAACGTTCTCTGTAATTTCTGCAGAAAGAGTTTTAATATATTCTATTGTTCAGCTGCCATTTTTAATTAGCATTTGTCCAGTTATTTGAAATAACAACTGAAAGCTCTTCTTCCACTTTCTTCTTCCATATATTCTACCAGATAATTCTGATCAAATTAAACTGATCTTTCAGACATTAACTTCATTTCCAGGAGAGTTTTTTTTTAATTTAAGTTTTAGGATGAACCTAGACAAAATTAATTCTCAGCAATATTTGTTTCATCACGAATCTGCCATAAACCCACTTTTAGCAAAATTTCCAAATTTGCTCCCATCTGACAAAATTCTACCTCTTTTTTTGCCAGGTTGCATTTCTTGGATAAGATTAATTTGTATCAATTGTTTAAAATTACTACAGTAAGATTCAACTATAAAGTTCAACCTTACTGCAAGATAAATATAGATAGTTCTCTGCTTACAACCACAATTGTGTCCAAAATTTCTGTTGTTAAATGAGACATTTATTAAGTGAACTTTGCTCCATTTTACGACTTTTCTTGTAACAGTGAATCACTGCATTTGATAAATTAGTGACATGGTTTTTAAGTGAATCTGGCTTCCCCATTGACTTTGCTCATCAGACGGTTGTAAAAGGGGATCACAGGACCCTGGGACACAGCAATGGTCATAAGTATGATCCACTTGCCAAGCATCTGAATTTTGCTCACATGATCATGGGGATCGTAACTGGTCATAAAATGGTCATAAGTCACTTTTTCAGTGCTGTTGTAACTTTGAACAGTCACTGAATGAACTGTTGTAAGTTGAAGATTACCTGTAAAGTACTGTAAGCAAGTAAGGTTGAACTATAAAACTATATATAAAGACACATGGAAAAACAAATGACTTGTATTCTAAAGGAGAATAAAGTTTATTTTCAGTAGACAGTGAAATAAACAGGTGAGATAGAAAAGAAAGGCTGAAAAATTCCTCTACTTATTTTGCAATATTAAAAAAAAACAACCCAGCATTTTATTGACTTCCTGTTACAACAATCAGTGCTTGTGCATGTCAAATGTATAGTATGAGAATGATACTTTTGGAAAATGGTAGATCAAACGCAGATCACATTTCAGCATGAACAAAATAGGAGAGGGGAGGCCAAGAGGGCTTAACAGAACTAAGAGATGTGAGGAGATAGAGCATTCATGGACAGCAAGGTTAAATAAACAACAATTGATATTTCCTTATGACCTTTGAAATTTTCTTTAGAACAAATATGAGCTTATTCAGAGATAGCTAGCTAGAAGAATAAATTGTTTAATGAAAAATTTTATTGACAACCGTGGATAGAATCCTTGAATTTTTGAAGAAAATTTCTGTTTAGAGACAACAGAAGTGACCAATAAGTTATATATATTAAGATGCTTTGTACCCATAAATATAATTTATGATGGCTCCCAATTTATTTTTGCCAATCTCCTTTAAAAAAAATGCAAATGACTTTTATTAATCTCTTTTAAGTCACAGCAGAAGGCCTAAATTTGAAAATCTTGTTTCCCTTGTTGGAAAATGGCCTGATACAATGTGTTTGATCTATAAGCAATGAGAACGCATAAATAGTAGAAGCTTCTTTTGAGAATGTATCTTGACAGCAGTTCTACCCACTGCAGCCAAGAGACTATTCTGTTTAAAAAGAACTTAATCATTTTCAAATGGAATTTTTGCTTTGAGTTGCAAGCACAGCCTTTACTGATATGTAAATTATGTCAACTCTATCCCAAATTGCTTATTTTATTCAACTTTTCCATTAGTATTCATTGTCCATCAAAAGTTACTGAATATTATTATAAAATTAGTTAATTATAGTACATACTGGATTCTACCTACAAGATTAAATTTACAGTAATCCAGTAGAAAACTTAGAAGACATTTGCTTAAAACTCATATTCTTCAAGCAAATGTTCCTTAAAGTTCTTAAATGCAATATTCTTTTAACACTGAAGAACTAAAGCAGGGGTAGTCAATCTTGGCTCTTTTATGACTCGTGGACTTCAACTCCCAGAATTCCTGAGCCAGCTGGCTCAGGAATTCTGGGAGTTGAAGTCCACGAGTCATAAAAGAGCCAAGGTTGACTACCCCTGAACTAAAGTTAACATTATGAAAAATATTTATTGTTGACTTTGTCTTTAACTGTAATAAATTAGTAACATGGATTTGCTACAGTACAGCTCAAACAACAGTAATCTACCCAAAGCTGCAATCCCAATTTACTTGGGAAAATTTGCCAAAACGATTTTGGAAAACTGGATTGCTCAGAAGCCCAAAAGCATATTTTCAAAAGGAAACTAGATTTTATTTACCTTCTAGATCTCTCTTTAGTTTTCTTAAATCTTTTATCAGGTCTTCAAATTTTACTTGCGATGCCTGGAAGAAATCCTGGGGCTCAGGCAATGGAAAGATACTCTTTTCTGTTCCTGCATCCTAAACAAGAAAGTTAAAACCAATAACTGTAACAATGCCATACATCCCACTGAAACAGATATGTTTCATGAAATATATATATATATATATATATATATATATATATATATATATATATATATATATATATATATATATGTATATATATATGTTTTCTGAGGTTTTCTCCCGCGTAAAATTGGAAGTGTCTTGGTGACGTTTCGACGAAGTCCCATTTGTCATCATCAGGCTGGTGTTTTCAGCTTCGTGCTTCGAGCAGCAATTTGAAACATCAGCCTGAAAATACCAGCCTGAACATGACGAATGGGACTTCGTCGAAACGTCGCCAAGACACTTCCAATTTTACGTGGGAGAAAACCCGAACAACCAAAGACCTATATATATATATATAAACAAATGATGCAAGTTAGTTAAAAAGTATCCCTTTCCCTTGAAGACACATTACAATCTCCCCAATGAAATGCTTATGATCTCCAAAGGAACCCAAATTACATTGTAGTACATAATAATCCTAAAATTTTACTTCATCATGTTAATACAACTTTATTGTATTGTATTTATTGTATTGTATTCCTTTATGATTGCATAGCTTTTGCCCTCTTTTACCTCCTTCGCCTTGGGCTTGGCTTCTAAGCTGTGGAATTTCTTGCCAAAAATTCTAAATTCCTTTTTGGTTATCTTTTTACTGGCAGGTATCTGATGGACAAACACTGTGGCTCCTGAGATAAAATTTATTTGACCATGCTTTAATGATTCTTAATTATTTGATTTGTACTGTGACGTTGCAGGCTATCATAGTTAGAAATGCAGAATATAAATCCAATGAATAAATTGATAAATAAGGTTTATAAGTCTCATAGAAACATTCAGCTTTTGTGATGTCACAGGTGGCTGATGACACCCAAATTTATGTCTGGCAATGTTATTTATTTCCACAGTTCCCTAAATGAGGAAAATGTCAGAACTGTCTGGTTAATGAATAGCAACTTTTCCAGTAAGCACGGAAGTGTTTTCTCTGTTTATCCATTCATCTTAGCCTTGGCACCTCATTGAAAACCATTGCCTAGCATGCAACGAAAACAAAGATACAAAGTTATTTTTGCATAAGCAAATCCTAATTTTTAGTTCTAGTTTAATGGCTTGTAACTGTGTTTTGCCATTTATAGGAAGTTCTTTAATCCAGAGAAGGATTACGCAAGAATAAATAAAAGGAGTAATTTAGAAATACTCCCTTTTCTCCTTTATTTTTATGTGCTATTACTCATGCTATCACAACTCTTTGAAGAGGATTTGAAGAGTGCTCCAGGATGAATTAAATCCCCAACTTTTATTTTCTACTTATGGAAATCTTCACTCAATCATAAAACTGTGGGTCTGGAGAAGTTCAAAGTTCTAATATCTTGGGAATGGAAAGTTAAAATATAAGTCTCTGTAGTGTATATAAATTAATATCCTATTGATAACTATTAAATCTGATCTTTGTATATCTAGTGAAGTATTCAAATAAAGGCTTTAAATGTTTCTTGAATCTAAGAAATCCAAAAAGTTATGTGACTAGCTCTACAAATCGCTCCCTTTAAAATATAGATAGTATTAAAATTATGAAAGATTGCAAGTGTGGTTAAATTAAGCTTCCTGGCAAAAGTAGAATTTTGAAAAATATTTTAATTTTATCAGATCTCATACATTTTAATATGTATTATTTGATCCATTTATTATAAATAAATGAATTGCTATTAATATATTGTTAACGATAACAATGATCTTCTTTGTAAACCAGTAGCATCTAAAATATATAAATTCATTAGCCATTTATTCATACGACTGTGTGTTATTAATCTAAATGTTCTGAATATATACTCAAATATATTCATTTGCTGTATGTTTAGCATGACATTTTTAAAGTTGAAATAACTACATTTAGCCGATTAATTAGGAACCTGGCTAATATTCTGCCCCATTTTGAAGGACAGCCTCTTCCCAATTTCATCTGCCTCTCCTACCAGATCAAACAGAGCAGAAGTGTTATGGGTTCCATCACCTAGGGAGTTAATCTGGCGGGCCCTAAGTGACTAGCTTTTTTCTGCAGGGGCACCAGTGCTATGAAATCTTCTCCCTCCTGAGGTGAGGTTAGCCTTGTCCCTGTTGAGCTTTAGGTCCCTCAAGTCCAGATTATGCCAAGAGGCCTGGGGACCTCAGGAGAAAGGCGATAGAGTTATAATTGTAAACGTAATCTTAATTGTTTTTATATTTCTCTTTTTACTGTTTGTAAGTTGCCCAGAGTCATCCAGGGTGGCATATAAATTTAATTACAAGTAAAAAATAAATAAATAAACTAGTGAGGTGGCTCCTCTACTTTTAACAATTTTCATTTATTATTCTTTCCAAAGAGGATCCCATACCCATAATGTCTTTTTTGTTGGGATTAGGAGTCGTAAGAAGAGAAGTAAAGCCATTCATGTAGCTTATGTTTCAACTTTAACTGAAGATATGCAGACAAAAAAGTCAAAATAATAGACAACAGGTTTAATTTTTCTCAATTGGGTGCTAGCTTGCTATCCTTATTGTTCCTGTTTCTTTTCTCATGTAGGAATGGGATGAGCATAACTCTACAGAACCTTCTTAAATAATATACACAGTACAGTAATTGATAAAAACTTACCTTATCACAATGGCGTAGGTAATAAATTACAACATAATCTGCAAGGCTGATTCCTGTATCCTAAAAGAGGGATAATTGAAAAATAAGATTTCAAAATATCAGAAAATGTGGAACATGAACATTAAAAAAATACACATTGAAAAGGATATTTTACTGTAATTTATACTTCCTAAACTCTTAATAAAGGAGAAGTGACCACAAACTCTGTGAAAACCAATTTATAATAGCAAATAGTATAAATAATTAATAATAAATTGCTATTGTTTTCTATTACTGTTTTATTTTCAGGCACTCTCTTTATAGCAACTTAAGGAGACTTAAGAAACTCATCCAAGAAAATTTTATCTCTGAATGGGGATAATACAGAATCAAATAAGTTTATAAAGTTTTTGCCATATTGTGGCTTGTTCTGTCATATAAAGGTGTTGCTTGTCATGATCAGTAATGACTTAGACATGGACTTAGTTGAAATGAGGCCATCTGAGTCAGTAGCATCACCCACAAAAGCACCTGATCTCCATTCTAAAACTTGTCAGAAGCCAAAAACTGGGATTCTCAGTTCCACCTCTCCCTGCCTGTTCTGTATGGACACACACTGAGTAATTGGGCTTGGCCAGAGTACTATGTAAGTATCAACAGAAATTATTTTTCCAATTGAATTTAAAACATGGTGGAGGTCCCAGAATACATGATGGAGATTTTAATTCTTCTCAGATCCCTCCCAGGCACATTAGGCTTGGGGGGGGGGCAAGTTACCAGAGGAAAAAAAAGAGAAAAAATCAGCTAAGTGGGAACCACTGGGCATGTTTAGCCTAGAGAAGAGGAATCTGCAAAGAGACATGTTAGCTCTCTTTGAATATCTGAAAAATTGGTATGTAAAAGGTGAGGCAGATGTGTTCAAAGCTGTTCCAGAAAATAGGACAGGAAACAATGGGGTTAAACTATTTGGATGCAGATTTCAGTTGGGCATAGAGAAAAAAAAATTGTAACAGTAGAAGCTTTTTGACAATGCAGGTGGATGCTGCAATAGAATCTGGATGGCCATGGCAGAGGAATGGATTAGATGATCTCCAAAGTGTACGCTACATGATTTTATGATTCTGTTGTAATACAACGCTCACGAAGGACAAGTCATTTTCAAAAAATTATAGACATTTCTTCTCCCAACTGTACTGCACCATCAAGGCCACAGAGACAGTTTGGTCTCGTGGTTTAAAGCATCAGGCTAGAAATCAGAAGACTGAGTTCTAGTCCTACTTTAGGCATGAAACCTGGCTGAGTGACTTTGGGCCTGTCCCTTTCTTTCAGCCCAACTCACCTCACGGGGTTGTTGTTTTGTTGTGGGGAAAACAGGAGGAGGAAAGAGTATTAATTACGTTCTCTGCTTTGAGTTATTTATAACATTAATAAAGGTGGGATTAAAAAAAAATATCTAAAGGTCACCTTATGAGCAATGAATTGTCCTATGGACTGTTGGCAGCTTTTAATGACCTAATTATCATACAGGGTGGAGCTTAGAGAAAGGCTGGGGCCAGAGTGAGGGGTATCTATGGATTCTTCACTTCTGCTCCTCAGCATTCAGTCACAACTAGCCCTCATTAGTAATAGTCTTCCCTGGGACCTGTCCAGGGTTCTGAAGGATATGTCCTTCAGCAGCCTTACTTTCTGACCTCACTCTGAATGGTTTCTTGTTTATTAAACCCTTGCTCATGGCCCCTTGCCTCAAATCACTATGTGATGTGTCTTTCTATATAATATGTAAGCCATGGGTGTCAAACTTGCCATGTCACATGAAAAGCAGGCACTATGCTTTTCAACCATTGTTTAATTTAACATAGAAATCCCACTCCACATCATCACTTCCCCAAAAAACAAGCATTTTGGATTAATGACAGTTTTGTACAGGCAGTCCTCAACTTATGACACTTTGTTTAGTGACTGTTCAAAGTTACAACAGTACTGAAGTGACTTATGACCGTTTTTCTCACTTACAACCTTTGCAGCATACCCATGATTAAAATTTGGCCATTTGGCAACTGACTCATATTTATGACAGTTGCAGTGATCCCCTTTTGTGACCTTTTGACAAGTAAAATCAACGGGAAAGCCAGATTCACTTAATAATTGTGTTACTAACTTATCAGCTGCAGTGATTCACTTGAAACTGTAACAGGAAAGGTCATAAAATTAGGCAGAATTCACTTAACAAATATCTCACTTAACAACATAAATTTGGGGCTCAATTGTGGTCATAAGTTGAGGACTACCTTTAATACTGTACAACTTGTTTGGTATGGACTAGGTGTCTATCTGCATTATTATTAAGTAACATAAAACTAAATATATCTAAATATGTCTAGAACAGGGGTGTCAAACTCAATTTCATTGAGGGCCGCATCATCATTGCGGTAGCCCTCAGGGGGCCAGGTGGGTGTGGCCAGGGTGGGTGCAGCCTACTGGGTGGGCGTGGATGGAGTGGATGTGGCCTACTGGGTAGGTATGGCCAGCTCTATATTGTTCGTGTCAAGGATGCCTGTGGGGGCTTGGGCAGGAGTGGGACAGATCTGAGGGTCTCTGGCAGAAGTGGGTGGGACCTGGGCAAGCGCCAAGGCATGGTTCATTTCTTCATTCCTCACAAAGGGTGACACCTCCCCAGCATGCACCCAGGGGGCAGTGCTGACACGGCAGGGGCTGGTTCCTCACTGTTTCTAGACGGCCTTTTGAAGCTAAGACTGAATGCGTTTCAGCATAGATGGCCACCACAAAATTGTGCATTGGCTCCCGGCCAGCCTGGGCCAGGGCCAAGGCAGTGGGGGCCGTTCCCTCACTGTTTCCAGGATGGCTTCGCGGGCCACATGAAACTACTTTGCGGGCTGCATCCGGCCCCTGGACCTTGTGTTTGACATGTCTGGCCTAGTGGATTCTTGATTCTGTTCAAATGATCTGACTGTCACATTACCCATTCATAAAAGGCAAATTAGTTCTATTTATGAATCTCTTGTAGCACTTTTTTCCCCAGAATTTTTGAAGGTGGAATCCAACACATATGATAAGGATTGGGTTTCAGAAAAAAAATACGTACCATTTTTCCATTGTTTGTTTTAAAAATTCTTTAAACTAAGATTAGTCATTTGACTTTAGTTATAGAAGTGGTTTTTAGTGGTGAAATAGAGCAATGAAAGATGTACCTCAATTACCATGTGTATAGACTAAGGATGATTACCTTGATGAAAATATACAGCAACCATTTCTTAGAAAAAAAAGGGCTGAAACACTTTTTAGTCCAGTACAACAAGATAATATTCAGAAGTGATGGAGCATAAATCTCCCTAATTCACTGGGACATAAGAAGGAGGGGAGGGTTAGTACAATCAGACATGGAAAAGCATGTTATTATAGCCAATTCCAATAAAAGTAGTTTTATCCTTCATCCAGAGTTGATTTTCAGTCTATCTGATAGGAGAAGTGTATGTCTTATGTGTAAACAAAAACAACAGCAAAGAGAAGAAAAAAAAACACATTTTTTTTCACAGAGCTAGAGGCATTTGCAGTGGAAGCAAGGGGAAGGAGACTAATGATAAACACATAGCACAATGTTGTACCACAAACTCCACCCCTTACATACATGTATGTGATATTATCACTCAAATACAAAAGAGTTGAGAGTGCATTATGATGTCATAACACATATTTTGTCATTTTGGTTATGAGCAGATGGCCATAACCAGTGCCCGCTAATTGAAAGACTGAATTCAATTAAAATTAAAAATCACGATTTAAACTGCATACAATACTTACTTTGCTCTTAACATCTTTTAGTTTGGGAAGTATTTCCAAGCCAAAGCCATCTGCCTGACCACGTGTTCGATTTCCTCCGTTCATATAATTTCCAAAAGCCAGAATCAAAGCTAGAATACTTTTCACACTTTTCTTTGTGATCAACTCCTGAAAAATGTGGCAGTAATTTATAATATTAGAAAAATATTACATGAAAAAATATTTTCTTTTCTTTATAAACATACACAGTGAAATATGCTAACAGAGAAATGCTATAATTCTAAAGGTTTTAAAATCAACTCTGGGCCATGACATTATTTTCAGAGCCCACATTGCTCAAGATAGTAGCATATTGAATTAGGAATTCAACAATTTTCAGCTAGAAAGTTAATTGGAAGACTTTGGGATGATTATGATTATTCCATGGTGGCGCAGTGGTTAGAATGTAGTATTGCAGGCTAACTCTGCTGTCTGCCAGGAGTTCAAACCTGACTCAAGATTGACTCATCCTTCCATCCTTCCGAGGTTGGTAAAATAAATAATTTGTCATGTTGATATTTTTGTTGTTTTAATATTATTAGCTGCTAAAGGAAACACTGGATAAATGTTTTGCATAATAAATGAATATAGCAATCCCAGACTTCAACAAAAAGTGACAAAGCACAGAAGAAATATAGGTTAAATTAAACAAATAAATTTACTTTGAGACCATTAGGTAGTGACTTATGCCTCAATTTCCCCCCAGAAGTTATACAGTAGAAAAGTAAATGAAGTTCAAACTGCAACTCTGAAGCAACATAATAATCTGTCACTGATCCAACCAAATATAAACACAAAAATATTGTATTCCTACGTTACCAGATTTAAAATAAATCTGCAAAAACAACATTCAAACTCAGAAAAAGGAGGAAAATAAAAAAAAGAAAGTTGTTTTTATTTCAAAACTTTATCTGAGAATCAAATGCCTATTGTAGATTTATGAAAGCTGTTCTGACCTGGTATCTTTTTAGACCCTGTCAATGTTGAAACTGATACAGTACTTTGCTTTGTTGCATTTGAAAATAAATATTTGCAAGATCCATTGGCATTTTAAAGATTAGCCAATTTATTATGCCCTAGTCATTTATAGATGTTAGTGAAAGCTTACAATATGCCCAGGATAAATGAGCTTGATTATGACTATTGTAATTGTAAAAATTCGGAACATATTTTTTCATTTATGATTTTACATAAATTACTTGTGCTATTATATTTTATATAAATAAGATATTGATTTAATTTAAATATAGAATATTGAAGCTATTTAATTTTTAATAGGTCATTTTGACTTAAAATACTTGGTGTTCATAAAGATTATAAAACCTGAAAATGACATCTGTTAGGCAGCACAACATTACATACTACTTTAACTAGACTTGAATCAATTTTCTATCATTTTTACTCAGAAATAGTTGTATTCAATGAAGAAAAATAAACCTTAGAATGCCACAAATTTTGACCCACGTACCTTACAAACATGATGAATAATGTCAGCTTTATGATGAACTGCAATTATCCCTTCATTGAAGACAGATTGAAAGATTATACATTGGGCACGTTCCGCAAAGTTGGAGATCTGAGATAACTCATATAAAAATCTGTGAAAATAGGAGCAAACATATATTTCAATCAAGTGACTGCATTTTACATTATATAATCCAATATATCAGAGAAATACTGACAACACATGAGTTCTTGATATGTTTTAAATTGTGAATAAAATAAAAATAATTTTCTTATCTTTATTGGAAAAGATAAATTCAATATTTCAGCACACTGTATACAGTCTGAAAGAAATAGAAAGGTAGGGATACTGCCCTCTGCTGGAGAGAAACAAAACTAAAAACAAAAGTTCTAGTCTCGCTGTGGTTATGTGACAATTGATTAGGGTCCAATGAGTCAGTATCCTATGACAATTTTATTATTCTCAGGCTTATTCCTAAATTAATCTTCAAAATAGAAACTTTAATTCTATTTTACTTAATGTAATATAAGCATTCTACTTTCAATAATACAGATCTGCTCAAAAGTAAATCCTACTTCCTTCCATAGGGTAGCAAAGAGGATACAGGATTGTATCTTAATCTCCTATCAAAAATTGATGTTTAGAGTCTTGAGGATAACCCAATACAGCACCCTTTAAGTATGATGATCATAACATTAATCAGCTATAGGTATCAAAATCATTTGCATTGTTTGGGGATAACTGGAATTATAGTCCAGCATATAATGAGTTTCCTTCTATCCTTCTATGATTGGGACTTTGACAAGGTGAAGGGACTTGTGTGGGTAAATGAAATCATGGGCTGCCATCGGACATCTATATGTCCAGAAGGGTCTCCGAAGGCGAATAGGCCATCATGGATACCCCAGAATAATATCAATCACATCTGCCAACCTACATTGGACCAGTGTGACAGATTATGTATGGTCTATTCCAATGCAACCTCAAAAATGGTCCTCATTCTCTGGAGGCCCTAGGGCAACTACCCACGGCAGCAGGAAGACCAAAGGCAAAGGGTACTAAGAATCACTGGGTTAAATCAGGCTGCCTTTGGACTTTCGGCATAGGAATAGTCAACATTCAAACAATGGACACTCAGCTAAAAAAAACTGTGAACTCAACAATATGCATTGGGATATGATTGGATTATGCGACACACAATGAAAAGATGAACATTTAGTTGAACTTGATAGGACTGGGCATTTACTCTATGCTAGAGGAACCAAAGATGGATTATGAGGTGGAATTGATTTTCTAATTAACCAAAAACTGAAAGACTCTGTAGTAAAATTTGAAGGTATATCAGATAGAGTAGTCCAATGCATCATTCAACTGAACAAACAATACAAGCTTCAAATCATCCAAGTTTATGCACCAATAATGAGCTAGAGTGATAATGAGGTCGAAGAGTTTTATGACGATGTGGCCTGCCTTCAAGACAAAGAAAAATGCTGATACAAAATACTAATGGGTGATTTTAATGCAAGAATAGGAAGAACAATACCTGGAGAAAAAGCAACTGGCCCATATGGAAGTGGTGAATGAGATAATAGAGATGACAGACTAGTAGATTTTGCTGAAGGAAAGGAACTTTACATTATGAACTCATTTTACAAGACAAAAGCTAGCAGAAAATGGATATGGAAGAGTCTACTTGGGTACACAAGTGAAATTGACTACCTCATGTCAAGTGATAAAACCATATTCTGCAATTGTACTGTCATCAACTGTTTTAACGTTGGAAGTGACCATAGAATGGTATGAGCTAAAGTGAAGATAGTCTGTCTAATGAAAATGATAATGCTATGAAAATGATAAAGATGTCACAAAAAACAAAAATAAAGAGTGATAAGCTGTTACAGGAGAAGAGCAATTTTGAGATTAAGCTGTCAAATTGCTTTGTTCTATTGCACAATTTGGAAGAGATGAACATTACGGACCAAAATAAACAAATAGTTAAAAACATTCTTGAATATGCTACATCTATAGCACCATTGGAAAAACACTTGGTACAGTCAAAAATCTTTGATAAAAAATGACGGACAATGAAGAATACTGGAAGTTTCACTAATAAACTGGAGTACGTTGAACTTTGCAAGACCATAAGAAAATATATCCAAGAAGAAACCTATCAGTTTAATGACAATTGAAGAAAACAAAGGGATTAATAGAGCAAAATACACACTTATAAATACAAGAAAGAAGGCTTTTGCATTAAAACATGAAGATGGCTCTGTGTGTAGAACGAGACATGATAGAAATAATTGGAAAATTCTATTCAGAGCTATACAAAGATCAAGATCACTCAAAAGTAACAACACCCACAAAAGAGGAAATGCCAGATATCCTAGTGGAGGAAGTATGAAGTGCCATAAAATCAATGAAAAATGCCAAAGCTTCAGGAAATGACTGTGTTGTGGTTGAAATGCTGAAAGCTGGTGAACACAGTTTACACAAGATACTAGCAAAACTATACTCGAGATGCCTCAGAGAAGAAAAATTACCTGTTGCATGGAAAAATGCCAAAGTGATTCTTATACACAAGAAAGGGACCCAAGATGATTTAAGAACTATCATCCAATAAGTCTTCTTTTAGTCATCTACAAGGTTTTCACCAAGATAATAGCAAAAAGAATATTGGAAAAAATTAAATGATGCATAGCCAAAGGAGCAGGCATGGTTCAGAAGTGGCTACAGCACAATGGAACACATCCAGGTTGTTCAGCAAGTCATGCCTTTGTGCATGGCTTTCAATGACTATGAAAAGGTTTGGATTCAGTATTCCAGAAAGCAATAGCTAATACATTGCTCAACCAAAGTGTAGACACTGCTTACATAAACTTACTACAATCAATATGTGAAAAAACAATGGCGACAATTTAAATTAAAGTGGAAATCAACACAGAAGGAGGTGTATGACAAGGTGATACAATATCACCTATTTTTTTTTCAGCCTGCCATGAAGAAGTATTTTGCAAAAGAATACTTTTGCAAAAAGACTGGGCAAAAGATGGAATAAAAATCATGGTGCCTATTTAAATCACTTAAGATTTGCAGATAAAGTTGTTCTCTTCTCACAAGACCCAGAAGAGCTACAAAGACACATACAAGAGCTGCACAAAGCAGGAGAACCATTTGGCTTAAACCTTAAACCATTTATTAAACCTGAAAAAGAGCCAGGTTTAATAAATTCACCAAAGAAAGAAAAAATGTTATATTTGGAGAACTAGACCACTACATATACCTTGGCCAACAGATTTCAATGGAAGGTGATACAATAAAGGAAGCTGAATGGCATGTTAAATTTGGTTGGCAGGCATTCGGCAAGCAAAACTGACTTTTAAGAACAATCACCTCCTATGCCTGAAAAAAAATATTTTCAATCAGTGTGTGCTACCTGCTCTAATATATGCTGGTGAAACATGGACACTAACCTCAGAATTGATACAAAAGCTATGAGTTGTGCAAAGAGCCATGGAAAGATACATGCTTGGCATTACAAGACAAGATAGAAAGACTCGCACATGGATTAGACAACAAACAAAAGTATACAATATCATCAAAAGAATAAAAGAACCAAAATGGAAATGGGCTGGTCACATAGCAAGAAGAACTGATGGCAGGTGGATCAAGGCAGTCACAGAATGGATCCCATCTGATAAAAAGCACCCACGAAAGAGACCTAAAACAAGATGGATTGACGACATCAGTAAGTATTGTGGGCCCAGTTGGCAAAAGAAAGCTCAGGACTGTATTGGTTGGAAACATGCAGAACAGGCCTTCATCCTTTAGTGCAGTGGTTCTCAACCTTTTTAATGCCGTGACCCCCAACCGGTCATAAGTTGGGGACTACTCAACCGGTCGTAAGTCGAGGACTACTCAACTGGTGCAGCACCGTTTGCAGAATGGGACTTTTGGTGGGCTCAGCAGGGCAGAGACAGCCTGGACAATTCCTATTGGCTTTTGAAAGCCAATAGAATTAGACTCTATTCAAGAGAGTCTATTCTATTGGCTTTCAAACCCAATAGAATAAAGAACCAGCTAAGGAAAAGCGGGAAAAATGGCAGACTGCGTTGATTGGCGACCCCCGTGAAATGGTCATTCGACCCCAAATGGGGTCCCGACCCACAGGTTGAGAACCACTGCTTTAGTGGATAGACAATGACTAAAATGATGATGATGATGATATATTGAGTATGCCAGGCTTTCACATTGCTCTAGATCCTGTGAGAGCTGCTTATCTGAAATTTAGTTTTATTATTATTACCATATCACTTTACTAATTTTACTTTGCTGGGAATTGGTTGCTGTTTGAGATTATTTTACTGCTTTTAAGAACAATTCTTATCTTGAGAATAATCGACCTTCATTCTATAAATCATGAAGATTTCTATAGAGACAAAGGATTTCAATGTTTTAATCAATTATGTATTAATTAAACTGAACTAGAATCCTGGCTCTAATTTAGTTTAAGTGTCTTCCTTTGTTCTGATTTTTGTATCTATATAAGGATTAAATATGCTGGAAGTCTTCATATCTGTTCTACCTTTCAGTGGATTCAATATAACTAGTAAAATATGTATATTTCCATGTTAGGCTTCTCACTCGGTAGGAATAGTTCAAAAAGTCAAACTGGACGTTACATACATATTTGTGGATTTTCTCAAATAAAAGCCAAGCTTGGGAGGTTGCCATATAAGCCAGCAGTATCTACTACATTTCTGACAGTTGGGAAAAAGAAAATGCAATCTTCGCCAGATGCACTAAGACTCCAACCCTTGAATTCTTTCCCAACACAGATTTTGCAGTTTCAAAACATCTGAACAGCAGCAGGTTTTGATCAGCTCCTTCTGTGGCTATAAGGGCTCTCTTTGATTAGCACCAATAAGAATCTTTCTCTCATGCTGTAGTACATGTACTGATACTGATATACAAATTTTTGAACCAGGATACATCCCTATTGTAGTATCACACCATAGCATTTTATTGCTTTTCTCACCATCACTGGAAATATAAAGTTCTCTCCATTTCATCCTCTTAAAAAAAATGGATGAAATACTTCCACTTGACAGCACACCAATAGACAGGGAAAATGATGCCAGATGGCATCAAACCTGTTATTTTTAGTAAACAGGAGCAGCAGCAAGTACCGTACAACATTTTTGTGCTGTTTTCTACCACCTCCAAAAGGTTACATAACCAAGGTGACCGAGGTGTAGGAAAAGCTTCCTAAGAGCACAGAATTTCAGTTTGGGTTGAATTTCCAATGCTTTTTTGTTGTTGTTGTTTAAGGAAAAATGTGACAGCAACTAGTTGTGTCCTTAACCAAATATATAGCCTGATTCCATCTTAATTTTAACAGGATTGCTAAAATCTATAGTTTAACTAACAGGATTAGTTTTTAAATCTATATTTAAAGAAATAACTCTGGGTAACTTGAGCTCTCATTCACCTTACCTGACATTAAAAAAAAAAGGTAATGGTTCGAAATTACAATAACAAATATTTTGATTAATTAAGAAATTCTCCACCCAGATTTAGCAACGGAAGAAGCTTCCTACTTCTCCAGGATCTCTGCATTTTCAGATATTTAGCAAAAGCACAGGTAGACATCTCCTAAGACTGGGCTATCTACATCAGGGGGCAGCCTGAAGCTGATCTTGGGTTAACTGTAAAAGCTAAAGTTAAAGCCTCCAGAGCACCGCAGTGGCAAACCACTTCTATACTATTGTCAAGAAAACTATGTGAACATGTTCATGAAGTCACCAAGAATCATACTTAACCAGAGGGGAATGAAAAACAAACAACAATAGGGCATTTGGGAATTCCTTCAGACATGTTGTTCAGCCATAATGTTATACCAAGCATTCTGCTTTTCAAGACTGTTTTGAATGACTGGGAAATACATGGGGCACCTTGCCCATCTGGTCTTACTGTTCAGGTTTGTCCAGTAGCTTAACTTCTTCTTCTGTTGAAGTGTCATAATGTTGCTTTATTTTTTCCAGTTCATCCTTCTGTGCTCTCTGTAGATTCAGTGACAAAAACAACTGTGAGATTATCTTTCTTATCTGGAAGCTGGGAATACTTCTATTTTTGGAAGTATGAAAGATTGAATTAGCTTCGACAAGTATAGTTGGTTACAATCAAAACGGAGAGAGCATCTTACATTTGGATGGTACAAAGATTGGACTTATTTAAAAGTAAAAAGAAAGAAAATATATGCAGCACATTTTTAAATACCAGTTTTGACCTACAAGAAAAAAATGTCTTCCATGGCCATATTTATCTTCCTAGATTGAGCCATTTATATTGTTTTAAAATCTTCTGTTTTACACGCCATTGACAAGATACATAAACTTTGTATACACTGATGTCTGAATAACAAAAAGTTAAAAAGTTATTCTATGATATATATTTTAATTCATTGCCATAAATATGGAAACATAAACTTTAATTTGGAAATCTCAATAAATTGATGACTATAACAGTACAAAGATAGGTTTTATATAATAATAATTCAAGTAATTTCTTAAGTTTCCTATAAAAAAACCTATTTTTTCTTTCATTCTTCTCAAGAGATATCTGTTAATCCAATCATCCAAATCCAATGCTTTATTATTAAAAAAATATTGTTTTGTAACAACTTCAGCAATCAGTTAAGAAATTGGGATTATTAAACTGTATTGCATATAGGCATATTTATATCTGTTGCTCTATTAAAATATTGTGACCAAGTGCAAGTATTTAATTCTAAAATATTCTAAAATGATGAAGATACTTTAAGTAATTTAATACAAATTATTACAAAATACATGAAGGGGCCCAATCTGTATTATGAACACCATGTGATTCTGAGGTTCAATATAATAATTCAACTGGGAATTTTTAAGGCATGGAAACTATCTAGATGACTTAGAGTGAGTCATTTTTTCTCAATCCAAAACACGTTACAGAGTTGTGGAGAAAATATTAAGGAAAGAGCATTTTGGATGCTGCCTTGAATTGTATAAAATAAAGGCAGAATATCCAGCTAATTGATAAAATGGATGGATGGAAGGAAGGAAGGAAGGAAGGAAGGAAGGAAGGAAGGAAGGAAGGAAGGAAGGAAGGAAGGAAGGAATACTTGTAGTTTCTATTCTACATTTTTCATGGTACCATGCAACCATCACAATGCAAATAGAACAGGGCCATCCTGGGTTGACCAAATGATGCTGGCCAGGACCTTTTTCAGTACCTGAAGGCTGTGAAGGTCTTGACTGGGGCTGAATAGGCTTCAGCTTAACCCTGGCAAAATGAGCGGCTATGGGTTTTAAGACTGCCTGGCTCCAGTGACTTTCCATCGGAGGGTGCACTTCTTCAGTTAAGAGTCGGTGAATGATATAGGTTTACTGCTTGATGGACAGTTAGCAACTATGGCTGGGGAGAAGGGCTGTTGCTGTGGTTTGATTACTGTAGCATGCTGCTCATAGGACTGCCCTAGGAGAACATTTGGAAGCTGAAGCTGGTTCAGAATGCAGTTTTGAGGGCAGTTTTGGTGTTTTGTATTACGCTCGTATAATGCTGCTGTTTTGTAAGCTGAATTGGCTCTTAATCTTTTTGGGGAAAGATAATGGTCCAAAGCTTTGTGCCAAAGGGAGAGATTTGTCTGATTTTACTTCCAACCCTCAAATAAACTATCAGCATTACTTACATTTTCATATAGTGCTTCCAATGTTTCTAGGTCAACTACTGAATCATCCATATTTAGTACAGCTGTTGAAATAATAAAATAACACATTAATATGTTAACTGACTGTGTTGCTTATCTGTTGCCATGAACTGAAAACACTTGGAGAATGTTTTCCTTTTCGGTTGAATGCTTCTTGTATGCTGCCAATGTCATAACACTCCCCGAGTAACACACCGTAAAAAAAAAAAGAAGGCTACAGTTCTCTATTTTTAAAAATACAGATTTTACTGACCATCTGCTCTGGAGTCTGGATCATTAGGATACAGGGTAAGTGATTAGATAATTTACAATGCAGCAGACAGCATAAATGACACAAAAGCAGATAAAAGTATTGTGATTCTCTGATCAGTTCTTATGAGTCTTTATAGGCAAGAATTCACTCTGAACCTATGATATATTAATATGCTCTGTAGAATTCTAAGCATTTGTACTCAGATACTCAATGTCACTAATTTTATTCCATCAATATATTTAATATTGATCATTATTAATTATGAGATATTAATTAGTAACATGCTTAATATTAATGAAATAGAAGCAGAAGTGAGTTCAAGTCCTGCCTTAGTCATGAAAGCCAACTAGGTAACTTTGGGCCAATCACTCTCTCTCAGCCCAACCCACCACACAGCGTTGTTGTAGAAGGGGAAAGGTGTGTTGGATGTGTTTTCTGCCTTGAATTATTTGTAAAATAAGAAGGTGGGATACAAGCAATCTTGGTGAGCTGCTCTTCTGAGCCTGGCAGCTTAATTTGAATATGTTATTTAGACTTCACCAAAGGAAATAAATACAATCTGTGAGAAGCCAGTAAGTTTATTGGGTTCCTCTACCTCTAAAACTCTGTTATTGGGATAGACTGACCACAGTCTGTTTCTAAACTCCTTGTCTGTAGAGGTTGAGATAAATATTTTTATGTGGCTCTATGGTACCTAGAACTATTTATGTTTTTTATGATTTGGAAGTCAAATCAAACTATAAAATTACTATATACTCTCCTTCCCTAATGTTATTACATTTAAACAAGACAGGCAATGCTGATCTATCTTTTCTATTAACACCAAATGCCACTGTCTCCTAAGAAACATCTATGGCTGATTTTTTTCACAAATGTGGCAGTCTTCAATTTATTGGCTGGTAATCAAATGCAAACTTAAATATCTGTCTCCCAGATGTATGGAGCAACATATTACTCAACTATATAGAAATTGTGAAATATATTAGTTACTGGCTTACAGATGCTGGAAGTAGAAAAGTGTCAGAATAGAAAAGAAAATCACCCTTAAGAATTCACCCTTTAAAGATTTATTTTAGATGTGTTAGGTTTTCACAGCAAACTTTAGTTTCCCTAAAGATTAATTTCACATAATATAGAACCTTCAGGTACTAGATATTTATTTTTCTTATCACTAAGCCAACTGTGTTTTGAGAGCAGACTACTTATTAAAACATAAACTATATGGAAAAGCCTGAAGACAACTTCAAGTAGAGTTCAGAATTCAGAATTTCAGTTATATGTGAAAACAGTAGCAGAAGAGAATGGTTATGAGCTGAGTTTTTTAAAGACATTTTGGCTAATCTCCAGATGAAAGGATGCTATAAGACGTGCTCTTGGTGTACACCAGCAGGGATCTTTTGACGTAAGGGAGAAAGTACATATTGAGCAACTATTAATAACTGAAAAATGTAATAAATGTTCAACAGAGATGTAATGTGTGATATAACATTTATACATGGATAAACTGAGTCAAGTTGTTAAAGGAATATAAAATAAAAAAAATGTTTATGCATATCATTCCCGTTGAGATAAAAGCAACACTTACCTTGTTCTATGTCCTTCATCTCCAGATGTAAACTGGATATTAGAATTCCTACAGTTTGAGATCTCTTCCCATCCAACAATTTGATAATCTGGAAATAAAAATACCTGATCATGTCAGAAAAGATGAACATCACATTTATATTAATTTAGTAACTAAATGTCAATTATTACAACTTATTTTTATATTCATTTATTTAATGGATATAGCCCATAATTTTTAATTTGTTTTGACATAATACAAAATTAACTCTGCACAATTTAAAAGATATACAATCCTAATCTAACATGAATGATTTTCAAGATATTTTAATAATTCCACCTGTTTATACTTATTAGCTAGAGAAATCAAAGGACTTTTGATTGCCACGGATAGACCATTAAATCATATACTCAATTCTTTCATTGAAATTAGCAGAATTTAGATCTAAGTTTGCCTGAAACAAACTTAGTTTTATTATTAACATTTACAATAAAAATGCAGTAAATAAATAACTGAAGGAATTAATGGGAATAAATGAATAACTGAGAATAAATTATTGATTGGTTGTCTTTTTTTCTTATTAAGATAAGCTGCCTTGGTAAATATTTTCCCATGGAAAGTTATATATCTTTCTGAAGTTATACATGTTATGCAATGAACTTGACAACAGGTTAATGTCTAATAGAGATAATTATTGTCTAAAGTAGGGTACAATTTGTACAGCACTGACTGACTTTTAGTATGACCTTTTTAAAGGAAACTTCTTAGGCTATCATAAACTTCATTAGGCATGCCTAATATTTGAAATAAAATCTTTCCTGAATGTACTTTTATTGTGATTCCTCTCCAAATTGTAAGTAGGCCCCAGAGCAGTGTTTCCCAAACTTAACAATTTTAAGGCATGTGGACTTCAACTCCCAGAATTCTACAGCCAGCAATGCTGGCTGTGGAATTCTGGGAGTTGAAGTCCACATGCCTTAAAATTGTCAAGTTTGGGAAACACTGCCCCAGAGATACGATCAGAATTAGCTCACCTAGCCTCCCCCCATATGTCCTATTTTAAACTGCAAATAACTATTGAGGTTTATTTTTAACATAATTTTAAAATCACAGGTGTTGATTTCAGAATAGCTAAAGCTCAGAAGGAGTAGCTTGTTAGAACCAAGATACAGAATCTTGCAACACTAATATGTTGGGTATTGATGTGCAAAATAAATAAATAAATCAACACCTAAGAACAACTTCATAACAGAGGTTGTTAGCAGGGAGAAGAATAATTTCCCTGTACTACAGCTGCATAAGAACAATTTGCAGGAATATAACAGTATTGAAGTCACATAGTCTATAAATAACTTCTCATCTGAAAACCAACTTGTTACGAGTGTACAGAATGCAAGAGCTGCTCTATAATAAACTGCCCAAAGAATACCTTTTAAGTAATGTATTAATGAACAGGGAGTTTAGAAAATGGTTGAATAAATAAATACCATTTTAAAAATTGTATGACATCTGGCAATGATCCTAAATTGTAAAAGTTGCTGAAACTCACAGCAGGGTTATACTGGTCAAATTCTGTTAGTAATGGCTTAGAGCAGTGGTTCTCAACCTTTTTAATGCCGCGACCCCCAACCGGTCGTAAGTCGAGGACTACTCAACTGGTCGTAAGTCGAGGACTACTCAACTGGTGCAGCACCGTTTGCAGAATGGGACTTTTGGCAGGCTCAGCAGGGCAGAGACAGCCTGGACAATTCCTATTGGCTTTTGAAAGCCAATGGAATTAGACTCTATTCAAGAGAGTCTCTTCTATTGGCTTTCAAAAGCCAATAGAATAAAAGGGAGTAGCACAGCTAAGGAAAAGGGGAAAAAAATGGCGGACTGCGCTGTTTGGCGACCCCCGTGAAATGGTCGTTCGACCCCAAATGGGGTCCTGACCCACAGGTTGAGAACCACTGGCTTAGAGGGTGTAATAAAATGCTGATGCAGAATTCTCAAATCATTTTTATAAACACCATGAAATAGTAACTTATAATCTTTCATTCTTTTAAAATATAAAAATGTTCCTTATTCAAAATATTGACACTCATTGTAAATGAGAACATGTGTTACTAATTATATGAAGCCAGTTAGAGGCAGAAAACCCATTATCCTCTGTCACTGATATAGTAATTGTTGCACTAAAAAGCTAAAAATGATGGATGGAGCCTTATTTATATCATGCAGGTGACACAAATTGCTTGACATTTATCCCTTCTTTGTACAAGGAAAGTATAATAGCCTTAGTTTGGTAATGTTGGCTTCCATAAGAGAAACTGACATATGGCAAATAATAAACCTCAGCAATACTGAGTTATTTAAATTTCAAAAAATATTATCTGTGCTATGTATTTGAGAATTTTCACTCCATCCTTCAGGTAATAACCATACTGAAAATATGTATACTTTTTCACAACAGAAGGTGAATAGCAGATATGCTTCCTTAAGGCCTAATTACAATACATCTAGAAGGCAAGTTTTGCCTAGTGGTTAAGGCTAGAAACGGGAGATTGTGAGTTCAAGTTCCACCTTAGACATGAAGCCAGATGGATGATCAGTTACTTTGACTCAACCCTAGGAAAGAGGCAATGGTAAACCACTTCTGAAAAACCTCCAAAAGAAAACTAACACATCTTGATTATCTGTAGTTCCCCAATTCATGATGTACTTATTGCTGTCTGCTTTTCAGTTACATCTCCTTCTCTTTTTCCTATCAAACAATTTAGTACAAATTAAAACTATATAAACAAATGGTCATGGGTAGGAAAACAGAATCATTCTAAGATGTCAAATGATCAGGCAAATAAAATGATTTAGTTGAAATAAGACAAGTGCATAATTTGTTTCCAGGGGACGAGTAGTTCAAAGAATGGCTTCAAACCAAAAGGCCATGTGTTGTTCAGAATCTTAGAGATTAGTATCAAAACTATACATGTAGCTTGGTCTCATTGTAAATTATGGCTTAGTGAATTGTCTAAATACATCTCATTTTACAATCAAATAACCCATATGTGTGAATACAATTTTTGTTTTAGGAAAGGTAGAATGATGCCAATCTATTGCAATAAGTAAGATTTCTGTGCAAAATGCACAGAATTCTATCCACTTTTCTTTCAAAACAAAATAATTAACATTTAGTATCTAGAGAAGATTGTAAAATATGAAACAGTGTTTTTAAAATAACTTTAAATTTCTGTTGCCTGGTTGGTATTGAAAGTAAAAGCAGGGTCATACATTCAGCTAGGAGCAATGCCAAAACAGCATGGCATATGCACCAAGGAAGATTTAATTTTAGGTTATAATTATGTGGGTACTAACAGTCATGTTCTTTATTTGATGGAAGTACTATTTTAAAGGACTAATTAACAGCTTGAAACAAGTCTGAAAAAAATTAATCCCAGATGCTGACTTTCATAAAAATTCTTGGCAAATCAGAAACAGATAACTTTGGTCCAATTTTTATATCCCTTGCCCATAGATTTTTTAAAATTTAAATGTTATTGTAATTGTTATTTTGTGCTCAAATCAAAATTATTAAAAATGCTCAATAAAATTATTTTTTTAAAAAAACAGTAGTTGGAAAATGAAAATACCTTTTTGGTTTTTGTTTTCTTTTCATAAGACTCAGCTAGTGCTTTTTTCCTTTCCTGAGCTGATTCTTTTGAGAATAAGTATTCAAATTCATTTGTATCACAAAGGTCGGGTTCTTCTAATGACTCCCAAAGAGTTGGCATTGACTGTTGACTAAAATAAGAAAAAAAGAGAGAAACAGTTATAAATTGTCTCTTAAGGGTACAGCTGTTTTGCAGATGGGTTAGATCACTTTTGAAAAAAATGTTTCATATGAAGAACTGTATAATGCCCAACAGTTATCTCAACTGTTTTTGTATTGCACAGATAACAAATATTTTTAAAATTATTTTCTGAACAAGATTTTCTTATCTCTTCTGTCTCCTCTTTTCTTTTTAGGAAAGCTTGGAGTAGAAAAGTAACTCTTCAAAATCTTTTATTACTATAGTTAAGGTATGTATATCATGCTCAGTTTAGTGAATAATTTGTAAGAGACCACTATGTCTTCTTCAACAAATTGCGATTAAAGAAAAGTATGATTTAGTAATTTATCACAATATTCGAAACCAATCGCTATTGCTTCATACAAGATGAAGAAAAACTTATCAGCAGAAGGCAAGGACTACCTCGCAGAATTCTCTAGCATTGTCCACATTCCTTTTGTAATGTTTAATTCACAAAACCTATTGTTGACTGCTGCAATTCAAAACAGTATTTATTTTTTCATCTATTTTCCATTGCCTTTTAGCAAAGGAAATTATTCCCAACAGATTGCTTTTCTCTGAAGAAAAAAAAGTGTTTTCTTTAGTAGTCGCAGCTGACATTTTTCCTCCAGCAGGTGTCACTCAAACAGCATTCTACTTACCCCTGTCATGTAATACAGTTTCTATTTTTTTTTTTTTCGTGATATAGCCATGGAGAGAAAAAGAAGAAAAGGCAAAGGGGAAGCCAATGTGGCAAATGGACCGCCGAGATATTATTGATGTTGGTTATAGTATTATCTTCCTTTGCTGTGAATGCTTCACTATTTTTCAATAGTTAACATGCAATTAATATAGCAGCAAAAAAGTAAAAAAAAAAAATCAAAATATTGCTGCAAAGAACACCTTCGCTCTTTTTTCTGGGGCCCTTACAAGCAACTATATCCTAGGTCAGGGATCTTCAAACTTGGCCCTTTTATGACTTGTGGACTTCAACTCCCAGAATTCCTCAGCCAGGCACGCCTGGGGCATGCCTAACTGAGGAATTCTGGGAGTTGAAATCCACAAGTCATAAAACGGCCAAGTTTGAAGACCTCTGTCCTAGGTCATCCCAGGAATACTTTATGTCAAATGACACTGCTGTGTAAGCCACAAGTATAAGTCTGAACAAGAACGCTATGAAACTTCATAGGAGATATGGGAGAAAATATTTGATAACATGAAGCAGTCTAAACAAATTATTTAAAATTTCTCTTAATCTATTTTGAGTATTTTTCATAATTTTGCCTCTTGTTCTTTTTCTCTTTAGTGAATTGCACACCCACGTACACGTTATGTATGTATGTATGTGAGTACACAATATACCCATACCTTCTACATATAAGCAAGACAACATAACTGTATACCTGCTATCTGATATTTGGATTCTGTTCCAGTAGAGCGGCCTCATGGGACAAGAGGGTTCAACGGCAGGTTTTCGAAGATCTTGACTTCTTGAAGAAAAATTAGAGCCAAGTGGCAGTAGTGGTGGCAGAGGTGGTGGTGGAGGAGGCCCTGTTCCTGTTGGAGGTGGCCCTGGTGGGGGAGGTAGAGAGGGCTGATGAACGCCAAAAGCTGAAGGAAGTGGTGGTGGTGGTGGTGGTGGTGGTGGTGGCGCCAGTGGATGGGCAGATCTCAAGCTTGTCGGCAATGGTGGTGGAATTGAATCAGACAGTGAGACAGGAAGAGGAGGTGGTGGAGGAGGTGGTGGCGTTGTTTGATCCAACTTTGAAAAAACATTCCCTGAGGTTTGGCCAGAACTGCCTATTTCCTTACGATCAGTTGAAGCTAAAACGCTGTTATTCACATAGGGTTTAGAAAGTTTCTTAGGAATTTTTTGATTATTTTTTGGTGTCCGTGTTTCATCTTCATTTGGCTTTATAAAAGTTTCTCTGTCTGTCTGGATGCAGACATTTCTGTATGTCTTTGGTGGGTAGTCGTCTTCGGTGGATACACAGGCATCCTTTGCTTCTTCACTTTGCTTGCATATCCTATTTTCCAGTTCATTTTTTAAATATAGAACGTGCTCCTCAAGCTTTGTTATTGATAAAGCGTGTTCTCCTCGAATATGAAAGACTTCAAGTTCAAACTCAGACTGTGAAAGAATATTGAAAAATCAATGTATAACCATTGTGAATCTTTGCCTTATTTATTTTGCATACAATTTATGATGGTTTATAGTGGTCTCCCCCAAGCTACTGTTCCCCAGGTATGTCTGAATTACATTTCTCCCCCTAAAGCCAAAGAACATTCTTGACAAGAGAGTTTGTCCAATGTATCTGAAGGATACCAGACTTTAGGAAGCTAATCTGCACTAATAATCATTCTTTGTCTTATGAGCTTATGATAAGTAAAATGCCATGGTGTGTTAGATTATTATGCCCTGTCTACAAATACAGGTTGTATTTACAGCAACACATTTACAAGAGAAAATTTAAAAGTCTTCTTATTAGTTTTACAGATTTCCTTAATGAGCATTTTGGATGCATATGATTGATTGAGCTTTGTTTCTTTTTTCCCCTAAAAATGTGAGAGTTTATTCATATATTGATTATTCTGCGATGAAATATGTTTATTATAATCTTGGTATGAACAGTCCATGTGCTGCCTTCTGACTGTAGGGAAAAAATAATGATTTTTTAGTTTGCATCATTTCTACTTTACTTGAAGCCAAAAGAAATATGTTGGATACTACTTCATAAGAAAAAAAAGAGGCATTGAAATAAACTCAGTATGTCCTACATTAGACATTCTTTTTTGCAGTGAGAGGGTATCCTGAGACTGTTTCAAAAGTTATCAGAAATAATTTCCTCTGAACATCAAAGTCATTAGAAAATTAGGTAAACCTTCTGAAGATCATTTATTACATCTTAAAGCATATCCATTGTTTCCACTTAGTTACACATGAACTGGAAAAATAGCCAATAGTCTGTATGAAAACAGATATGCTTCCTAATAGTATTAATGTATGCCATCCATGACAAGTAAATATAGTATGAATCTGCAGTCATACAAATAGCTGAGCTTCCTCTTCAGTAATAATGAAATTCTACTGAAATTTATTTCAAGTATATCAAATATACTAAGAATACATTATGCATAATGCAGCAGTTTACAACCAGTCAAGAATATTATTAAAACACTATAGGCGTTACAGGACAATTGCAGCGGATAATGACATATTTTCTAAAAGATTTCGCCCTTATTCCCTATGGATTTTAGAGATGCACAGTATATATTACAATAATCATTTATTCTGTGCTTCTAGCAACACAGCTTTTCACACACCTGAACATTTTTGCGTGTGGGAAGTCTGATTCAGGGTAAGTCACCTTAACATACATGTGCATTTTTTCCTTATTAAATCAAAAGACAAATAAGCCAAATGTTAATTACAATGTTATTGTTATTCATGTAGGTTTGTCAAACATTAATGGGATGCAGGAATAAAGGTTCTGATCCAGAAAGGATTATGAAACCATGGTTGGGAAAACCTTTAAATTATCTTCTGGTCTGGGACAGCAATTAAGCAGAAGTGATGCTTTCTCTCCTCCAGTCATCCGGTAAATCAGTAAAAATGGCTGAATTTCTCAAAATAACAATTTTCTTCTTTCTTACATAGGGCCACTCCTTAGCTCTGCCCATATACTGAGCTGATACCTTACGACATACTAGCTTCTTGGGAAGAACTCTATGTGTATGAAGGCCGATATCAACTAATGAACTGGCAGTTGTGATTTCACATTGATGTTATAATAATGTATTAAACTTGCATGCTGTTCACCAACTCTGGGCAGCTTCCAACTATCAATAAAGTTCAGCTATTAAAAATACGTTGGCTTCTAGTAATTTTGTGGCATCAAGAGGCATGTTGCCTCCTGATAAATAACTAATAATAGCCAAGATGGGATTCAATATCCTTCCATGTAAAACTTAGTGATTTACTTGGTGTTTTCAAATTGTGGATTCTGAATTGCCAGGGAACTTTGAGAAAATAGAAGCATGACTGAATGCAGATCCTGCCATAGCAAGGGAATAACAATAGAAAGAAGAAAAAGGAAGCATGATTTAATTTTTTTTTTGTGATTGCTATCAGAACAAGTTTTCACTTAGTCCAGAATTCTGAGTCCAGCTTTGCATGTGCAAGGCTCATGGCTTGTGCACCCACAGCTGAACTGCTGGGAAAAAGTTGTTCTTGCTCTGCCTGTATAGCAGCTGTACAAGCAAGAAGCTAGTTTAGCCAAGCAAAGCCCAGGACACACAAATCTAATATGGTTCTGGATTGGCATTTCAACACTTTCTCATGCTCTGCCAGTTTGTCCAAGTAACAGCCCAGGGAGACTTCTAAGACTGCTCCTGTCTTTCACCCAAGCCAATGAAGTGAGCATTTTCTATAGCGGCTGTTCTAAACAGCAAATATTGATCCTAAATAAATGTGGAGTGAATGAGAATTGATAGTGGCTGTTTCCAAAATGAAACCCAGATTATGGGAATTTCAGCTTCTTCTCTGTCTTGCAAATCAGTTTCATTCTTTTATATGCTGTCTTTTATTCTGTCAATGTTGTTCTGTCTGTATCCCAAATGGGATTGTGCACACAGCTTCCAGATACTAGCATCTGGTTGTTGATCCAAAGTGCTGAAATTCAACCAAAGTTGTTAAATTTACTAGCTAGCATGCTGATCACCCTCCATTTGGAAAATTGACCACTACCCTATAAAGTCATTTAAATATCTAGGGATCTATTTTCAATCATATTTTTCCTAGAAATTTACCTCTTCAAACACCAATAGTATCTAATCTTTAATAAATATTTTTGAAATATATTATAATATACTGAATACATATTTTATAACCCTGAATATAACATATCTTATCCAAAGAAAATGAACAATTATTTGGGTTAGGGTTAGGGTATCTTTAATAACATTAATATAATTCAACACAATTAAGAATAGAAACTCTGTTTGATAAAGAATGAATTGTTACTATCTCAGATAAAAATTCCAAGTTAAACTTAACGTAAATAATGAAATGAGGCTCCAATATTAGTTTGTTTTTTCCTGTATACTTGCTTTGTTTATCACCTGGATTGGAAAAAAAAATACCTAAGAATTTGTAAACTTGCAGGTAATTTTGTAACATTTTGCTTGGCCTAATAAAAAGGATATGTGGTTGTGTAGAACTAGTTTAGAAGATAAGCATAGTATTAACTTTTTATTTTCATGAGAACATAGTTTTGGACATGTGCACTAAATTCATCAATGAGAAAAACCGAAGCTCATCTTCACTGTCCTCAAGTCAAATTCAGTGAAGCAGATAATGGCACCCATGATCGTTAAATTTGCATAATATTAGTTTTTTTATATTTCAGTGACATGTATGTTTTATAGTGTAGATTGTTCAGGATACTGTTTTTTAAATTTGGTATGTAACAGTTTTGTGAGTTGACCAGGAAACATATATGGGACATCTATGTGAAAAAATGACTCATCTCACTAAGTTAATGTTGTCTCTATCTTTGCTAAATCTAAATTCTGCCAACACAGATAGAGGAAGCTGGTGTTTTTAGAGCCCCCAATGAATTCACAATGTTAGGAATTAGTTAGGGACTCTTAGCCTGAACTAACTTTGTGTTATCATCTTAAGAGGCCCCTCGTTCGTCTGGAATTTTTGATGTGGAGTAACATATCTCTTCCTTGGACACAGCTTTTCTTCTATTTTTAATCTTAACAGTGGTAGATCTCTTGCTCCTACTAACAGCTTGTTCTGCCACCAGCAATATATTGCTTTAGCAGGTGGAAGTGACTCATGTCTCATCTTGACTCCCTCCTATTATTGCCTAACAAGACTGTGTTTTGCAAAGTAAATAAACAAATGGGTGTGCTTGACAAACCAGTTCTGAGCTGCAAAAATGATACAGTGACAAAATGCTTATTTTTATAGCCCAATCCTACACATCTATACTTGAAAGCAAAAGTACTGCATACAGTATGTTTTATAGTACTTAATTTCAAATAAGTTTTACAGAAGGACATTTGTTAAAGTTTATTTCGCAATGAATCTGGTAGAAATATAAGGTGGCATAGTATTTTTTTGCATTCTATTATAGTTTGCCACCTCACTTTGGCTCTTGTTACTTGCCCAAGTACAATTTCCTGGTCAAATACAGGAAGTCCTCAATGCACACCCATTTGTTTACTGATCGTTCGACGTTACAATGACATTGAAACAAGTGACTAATGATAGGACCTCATACTTATGACCATTGCTGCATCTCCATGGTCACAGAATTAAAATTTGGGTGCTGGGCAACCACATGTATTTACAATGGTTAAAGTATCTCCAGGTCATGTGATCACCATTTGCTGACTTCCAACAAGCAAACTGAATGGGGGGTATTCATTTAATGACCACATAGTTCACTTAACAACTGCAGATATTTGCTTAACAGTAAAATTGGGCACGTCTCACGTAACCATCACCTTACTCAGAAACAGACATTCTGGTCCCAACTGTGGTTGAGAGTCAGACTATCTCTACTACAAATTCAATACTTACTTTATACAGCAAGGTTTGAATTTTAAGATCCTGGCTTACCTTACTGTTCAATCTGAAGACTGCTCATAATATCCCAAAGGTACTTTTTCATGAGGCAATTGGACTTTCTTGTTTTTCTCTCATACAAGAAGCTTCTTCAGCTCTGACTGGATGATGGAGAATGGAAGGATTTATCCACCATCCATTCAGAGCTGAAGAGGCTTCTTGAGATGTAACTGCTTATAATAATAAATTAGTATGTATTAATCTATTATATTAATTTAAGATTAATTAATATTAACCATTAACATTATAATCAAATCTACTATAAAAACAGCCTACAGGTAAGCCTATGATGATCCCACTCTCTGAGATGTTCAGAAATTGCTAATTTTTCATCTGTTTAATTAACAAAGAGTTAAATTTGTAATTCTTTTATTTAAAGTATTTAATGGAAAGTGCCCCCTAATTCTTAATCCAATTGCTCACTCCATAGAAACTTAATTCCCTTTCACCTTCTTTTGAAGATTGGAGCTTTGCTTTGCAATTTGTTACTCATATTCAATAAAGAAAATCATTTGAATATTTGTATTTAAGTTCTGAATTTTCCACTCTGATATCATCTCCCACATTTGCTTCAGTAGGTTGTATCTCTACATTCCTTTGATGCACAATATATAACCAGAGACCTGAACACAGGATAGGTTAATTACTGCAAAGTACCATGTGAAAAATGTTCTACAAAATGTTAATATCTCTAAGATAGGAGAGAACAGGAAGCAACTAACCTTGTAACTTTTTTTCTCTCTCTCTCAGGAAGAGAAAGAGATGTTTAACTGACCTCTAGTGGAGATTTTTTTTATTAATAGATTTTTATAAAATTTGGTTGTACATAACAGGCAAGGAACCTCGTCGTCCTCCAGATGTTGTTGGAATGATCTTTCATCAGATGCAGCCAAACATAGTCAATGGTTAGGAATGACAAGGACCGATCCAACACCATCTGGTGACCCATAAGGTCCCAGCCATTTTGCTTTAAATGTCTCAGAGGATGAAAGAGTTGACCTTCCCAAATTTGCATTATCCAAAAAATGAGACACGCATTGTCCTTCCCCCCTCCCAATCAATGGGATGAAACAATATAGACTCAGGTGGTTTTGGATTCATAGCAAAATTGATACTGCTGAGTTTGGACTTACAACCAGGTGTCAAATAGGTATATTGGATTCTACTTTTTCAAGTACAATATTTAACTACAATTAGAAAAAAAGAATATTATCAACAAAGACTGTAAAAAAGCTTATGTATACATCAGGTACCTTGGAAATAAGTGTATTACACAATAGCATATGCTTCTGTTTTTCATTTAACTTACTCTTGTATTGGGAATATTTACTAACGAAGGAAAATAGAATAATAGAAATATTACTTTTTGTAAATGTAATTGTTTATTCTGTATCTTTTTCTATTCAGATCAGACAGATGTGTGGATTTCTGAAGCAACACATGGATCAGTTTAACTAGATATACCTGTATCGAATAACACATAAAATGAAGACTCTTACATAACAAACTTTAAATCCTTGTTCCTGAAAACTCAATTGCAGTGAATAGCTAACCAAAGAAATCCAAATATATTGAGCTAAAATGTTTTTCATAAACTTTAAATACAGGGATGGTTCCATTAAGATAAATGAAGTCAGCAGTTCAGCATGAATGGTGGGACAATATTGATTTATATTATCCTGTAGTCTCTCTAACAGTTAACAAAGCTTGGCATTCACAGAGGTCTATTATTTCTCTAAGGAACTGTTGTTTGAGAATGTTTAAAATTCTGACAATATTTGAAGATGAAAAATATTTTCAATACAGGAGATGCCTAATAAGAACAATAAATTTATACAATAATTCGACAGTGGAAGAGGAAATATTTGTATAGAAATAAATACCCAAGGATACTTACTTTTAGTTTCTCAATTTCATCCTTATGTTCCCTTTTTAACTGCAAAATCACAGCATGGTACTCTACAAAAAGTGAAATAATATGTCAGACCAATGTTACAAAGGTTTCTGAGACACCAGCACAAATATCAAAGGAATTACTCTATCTGATATCATACAGGTTTTCCTGACTACAGTGTAGTACACAAAGTATAAAGTGGAACTTTAAAATATATTGAAGCACAATGCACTAAATTTACATTTTGCTACAATAAATTATGTTGCTTTTCATTTTGTATTAATGGCTTCTAGGGTAATATTTTTTCTTTATATTTTATATTAATTTTTTCATTAATAACAAAAAAGAAAAAAACAGCAAAACACAAACATTATAGTGATGCTATAAGAAAAAGAAGAAAAAACTACATAAAAGCGCTGTAAGAAAACAGTGAAAAAATGACAAAAAAGATACATAAGCATTTTCATCTTTTCCCCAAGTTACTATGTCTAGTACGACATAGAACTAGACATACCAAGGACTCTATGTGGAGGGGAGAGTGACTGTCAACCTAAAGATGTTACGAGCCCTAGCAATGCCGTTGGAAATGCTCCCATTGATAAGAAAATGAATGTTAGTGGGGCAACATTGGAGAACGGGGGTTACGATAAGATAACTGCAATGAAATCTTGTGACGTAGGAGAAAGCAATGAGATGGCAACTGTGAAAAGGGACTATGGAAAGAGGGAAGGTGGGAGGAGAACAAGGAGGGGGAGTATCAGGAAGGAGGATGAGGAAAACAAACAGTGAAAACATACAGGCTCTCCCAATCCATCCCCACATGAGGAGGGGGGTGGGGACATAGATACAAACAAGGAAAGCAAGAAAATAACGATCAGCAACACGGAAACTACGATCAGAGTGCAAGTGGATTGGCTGGGACCTGTAACGAGGTCCAGGAGCCGGGTGCAAAGAACGCCATATCCATAAATAGCCTTTCCCATCGACTGGAAGCTACCCTGACGATGCTGGCAGTTGCCGGCAAAAGCTTGGTATTTTAACTTATTAAAACTTTTTATAGTTTTATATTTCCTGGTGTTCTTGCATTTTTGCTAGTTAAACATGAGTCTACCCAGGAATCACCTTTTTGTTTTTAGCCTTCTTAAGAATATATATCTATATCTATATCTATGTATCATTCTATTTGCTATTATTATATTATTACTGTAATATTATTATTTTAGTAATAGAACTGCCAGAACAAAACAAAATAGTGACTTCTAAAAGAGGAAAATGGAAAATGGAATGGAAAGTGTATTCATATACATACACACTATAATTCCTAATTTGCAGTAGAGGAATTATAAAAAAATATCTAAAAGAAAAACTTAAAATATTAAGATGGTGAAAGAAATGGGAAAAAAAGAAAGGAGTGACAGTTGATCTATACATACATACTGTAGTCTATAAGCATACTTACGAAATAATGCACATGGAATTGTCTCTTGGTAACCATCTGAGATATTCTATCATAACCTTGATAGCCATATATGAAGGTCCCACTTTCTGATTTCAATAACTTAGAAACACCCTAAAATAGCACTTCTAAAAATGTAGCTACTAACTTCAATCAATTGGTTGCTATTTAACCTAAATTCAATATACTTATCGGGTAAATTATATTGGAGTCATAGTGAATAGATTGCTGAAAGTATTGGACCTAGCAATAATAAATAAAAATTCACAGCAAATTCAATTAAATAAGGTAAAATTGTGTACATTACTAGTACTCTCACATCAGACAAGCAATCATAGATAAAATAGACAAATTGTCACATTTTCATTAAAGAAAACTATGAAGTGTGTTTGTATGTGTATGTAAGTATGTATATATGTATATAAGTATGCATGTGTATGTATGTTTGAGAGTGTGTATGTACATACACACACACCATACACACATACATATGTACACATATACCCACACATACATGTACACATACATAGCTAATTAGGTTGCAAATGTTTCGTCTCCATTCAGGAACAGCAACGACCAAACGAATCACAATTCCTTACATACTGAACATTTCAGAGGTGACAGCAAGACTACTATGCCAACACGACCTCACAGTAGCCCACAAACCAGCCTCAATTATCAGATGGATCCTATCAAAATCTAAAGAGCCAACAGAAACAAATCAAAGATCAGGCATGATATACCAAGTCCATTGCAACAACTGTGAAAAGAACTCTGTGGGCCAAACAGGAAAAAAGCTATCTACCAGACTGCATGAGCACTCTCTGGCTATCAAAAGACACAACCCATTGTCCTCATGTCCATGCACGAGGACTCGGAAGAACACAAGTTCGATCTAACCCGGACCAGAATTATAACCCAAGCAAAGTCGAAAAGAGGAAGAGAATTCCTCAAGGCCTGGTTCTCCACCAACCAATCAATGCCAGACAAATCTTATTGCATTCTTTGACCAAGTGACAAAATTAGTGGATCAGAGGAATGCTGTGGACATAATTTACTTGGACTTCAGTAAGGCATTTGATAAAGTAGATCACAACCTACTACTTGACAAGATAGAAAAATGTGGGGTAGACAGAACCACCACCAGATGGATCCGTAGCTGGCTGACCGGCCGTACTCAGCAAGTGGTCCTCAATGGAACTGCATCTATATGGAGGGAAGTGTGTAGTGGGGTGCCCCAGGGCTCTGTTCTGGGCCCAGTACTCTTCAACATCTTCATCAACGATTTGGATGAAGGGATAGATGGGGAACTCATCAAATTTGCAGACGACACCAAGCTGGCAGGAATAGCCAACACTCCAGAAGACAGGCTTAAGATACAGAAGGATCTGGACAGACTTGAACACTGGGCACTAACTAACAAAATGAAATTCAATGGTGAAAAAAGCAAGGTTCTACATTTAGGCAAGAAAAACCAAATGCACAAGTACAGCATAGGTGGCACCATGCTCAATAGTAGTAACTGTGAGAGGGACCTCGGAGTCCTAGTAGACAATCACTTAAATATGAGCCAGCAGTGTGCTGCAGCTGCCAAAAAGGCCAACACAGTGCTAGGCTGCATTAACAGAGGGATAGAATCAAGATCACGTGAAGTATTAATACCACTCTTCAATGCCTTGGTAAGGCCACACTTGGAATACTGCATCCAGTTTTGGTCACCACGATGTAAAAAAGATGTTGAGACTCTAGAAAGAGTACAGAGAAGAGCAACAAAGATGATTAGGGGACTGGAGGCTAAAACATATAAGGAACGGTTGCTAGAATTGGGTATGTCTAGTTTAACGAAGAGAAGGACAAGGGGGGACATGATAGCAGTATTCCAATATCTCAGGGGCTGCCATAAAGAAGAGGGAATTAAGCTATTTTCCAAAGCACCTGAAGGCAGGACAAGAAGCAACGGGTGGAAACTAATCAAGGAGAGAAGCAACCTAGAACTAAGGAGAAACTTCCTGACAGTGAGAACAATTAATCAGTGGAACAGCTTGCCTCCAGCAGTAAATATTCCAACACTGGAAGTTTTTAAGAAGAGACTGGACAGCCACTTGTCCGAAATGGTGTAGGGTTTCCTGCCCGAGCAGGGGGTTGGACTAGATGACCTCCAAGGTCCCTTCCAACTTTACTACTATTATTATTATATAACAGATACATTGACATCGACCCCACCTACCAATCACTGAAAGCGAGAGAGCTACTTCAACTGAAATACCAGAAGCAACATTCCAAATAAACTGAACACAATTCAAACAATTCTTCCTTCTCAGTCAAAGTTTGTACATACTGTCATAAATCCATGTTGACCTAAAGACATTTTCTTTCCTACAACTGGCCTTTATCCAGCTGAGAATATATTACTATAAGAGTAATATTAACTAGTTATACAAAAGTGAAATTAGACATCTTCCATCTCTTAAATTATTCTATAGTAATGTTGAGGTGGATCTTGAGTGCTTTTTTCCTGAATGCAGGGCTATTTAAATTTATAGATAGAACTGTGATCCAGCAGTTGATATGATTGCAGAAATGATAGATTATTACTGACTTCCTTCTCCCTTGCCACCATCTCCTAAAGTTGGACTACTGGGAAAGTCAAGTCAGTTCACTAGGCATTGTTGTAGAGTTGCCTAAGGCTTTTGCTCAGTGGTGAGATTCTACCAGTTCGTACCACTTCAGCAGAACCGGTAGCTAATTTTTTGTTGCCCAGGCCCAGAATGGACTTCTGGAAGTGGCATCCACACAGAGAACTGGTTGTTCACATATTTGAATCCCATCACTGCTTTTGCTGGAAAAAAAGTATAATTGGCAGCTACAAATTTGTTTAGCTCTTGAATCAGAGGGATGGAAGAATAGACCCATGGACTACCTAACTCTTTAAGTAGTCTGTGGATTTATCATACAGATTTTGTCATGTTTGCCAAAGGTTCCTCATCTCCTTCTGCTTTTTCCTTCTTCTGCTCCAAGGAAAAGAAGAGAAGATGTCAAGGAATGAGGAGCCAAGATAGCTCCTGACTGAGAGTGCCAGTGAAGCAATGTGGTTTGAAGCAGAATCAGTTCCCACAGCATTTTTTGACTCTGCAGGTTGGTCCACAGCTTCTGAACCCTAAGCAAGTGACACTGTTGTGAAATAGAGGATTATGAGACTGTAGGGTCAGGTCTGTAAGGAACATCAGCCACTATTAAGAGAAATATAGCCTTTTAAGTGTAGCTAAAACTCCTGATTTTACTGATCCTTATTAAAGAGACAAAACAAGACAACGGGCAACAAAGAAGCGAGACAACAAATAGATAATATGAACAAGTAAGCAAACAAATGCTAAAAACAGCAATATTGTATATATTAAAATGGGTATATATGCATATAACAAGATAAATGATGTATACTATGCTAAAGAAAGACAGGGAAAATTTGCTTCATTTCTCCTGTCATCTCATCTTATACAAGGAATAAGATTCTTGTGGTATTTTCATAATACTGAGTTTGAGCATAAATTGAGTAAAAAAGTAAATAAAACCAAAGTATTCTGATCTATGCAAACAAACAATTCCCTCCCA